CTTAGGGTATAGAGGACCCATCAGACCGGGAGAGGACCGATGGGAGGTGACGAGGGGGTGCCAGATATCGCTGATGGAGAAGCCGATGTCTTGAGGTACGTCGGGGTGCTTGGAGATTTCCAAAGCTTCTCTAATGCGTCTTGGGTACCACTGTTCAATGTTGGCGATGAGGTGGGCTTCTTCCCAGTTGATGGTGTGGTCTTCGGCGTGGGAATGTTTGATGATGGCTGACTTCTCATATTCCCCCATATTCTCATAAGACCACACCATCAACTGGGCCAGAGATGGCACGGCTTCCTAAGCAGTTTGAAAGTGAATACCTTGAAAACGATGACCCTGAGATCCTGAGAAACACCAATCACCATGAACAGGGTCTCTCAGGGCAGAAAACCTTCCAGGGACAGGCTTCCAGCCTCTCCAATACTACCAGACGAATGGGTAATCCTTTTTTAGATGACTTCCCAGATCTTGTTACGCTCGACAGTCGAAACTGTGCAGATGAATCGGTGGTTACAGCTCTGTACAACCTGGAGGATACAGGCAGGAAACAGTTCAGGGATTTTGTCAAGAATGTACTTGATGCACGCAGCCACTCTATTCACGACCCAATCAAGAGGAATTCCCTAGCACTATTCAGGCAACCTAAGCGCAGGGTGACATCAAAGCAAGGGAAGAAGATCAAAGTTCTTCAGAACAATGTGGCACTTTTTGGCCAGCTGTACATATCTATGCAGAATAGAGATAGCGACTTGGATGAGTTCTTTGCACATGAAGTACAGTCCTTTCCCCCTTCGCTTTCAGACTTCTGCAAACTTTGCTTACCCAACACAAAGTCCGACCTGCTCAAATGTCTTGAGCAGCCTGGCCAATCGGAGCCACCCTCAACCTATGACTAAAATCCTTGATGGTGCCGTCATCGTACACTGCCTCCCGGTTGCCTGCGTCAGTACCTTCCACGAGTATGCAGACAGGGTTTTCACCCCTCACATAAAAAACAGCTCCAAGAGGCAAAGAGGTTGGATATTGTTTGGGACACATACATCCCAGACAGTTTGAAGGAGTCAACCAGGGGAAAGAGAGGCAAGGGTGTACGCAGAAAGGTGTCAGGTGAGACCAAGTTGCCTGGCAAGTGGATGGACTTTTTTCGTGACCCCGTTAACAAGAAGGAGCTGTTTGCCTTTTTGACTTCCAAGGCTGAAGATTTCAATTGGCCACCAACTAAGGCTATATGTATCACATCAGGGCAAGCTGTGGTGACTGTTGGTACCAGCATCTCCATGCAAAACTGCAATCATGAGGAGGCAGACATCAGAGTAGTGGTTCATGTGCTTCATGCTCTTCAACAAAGAGGAAAGACAATTCATGTGCGCACCGTTGACACATATGTCGTAATCATTCTCGTCGGCAAATTCCACAATCTGATTTCTATTCAACCTTCGGCTAACATCTGGGTTGCTTTTAGAATGGGCAAAAACTA